GACAAAGATTAAAAATAAACAACAGAACTGAAGAGCAGCTAAACAATGAAGGAAGAGGCCTGAGGACCAGATAAAGTCTGTAACAAGACTACAGATCCCATAATGCAGCTGCAACAAGACAAGTTAACCATCAGTTTCAGGATCAAGTGAGAATCATGTGATCACTCTGACATCATCACTCTGGTTCCAAACTGATCAAATGATAAAACGTTATAATAATAAGGTTAGAGTCTTTGTATTTTCTCAGCATGCTCAGTTGAGTTCAGTTCGAGTGTTGAGCAGTGTGATAATGTACAGAGAGGAGCGTCTTCCTCAGTGGACCTAGCTTTGATCATTTGACCAACAAACTGATAATCAATAAACAATCAATAACATCAGTGTTATTAAACCTCATCAGTCAATCATGTGATCATAACCCTAACCCTAATCATGTATTGATTAGATTGATTTCATGTTAAAACCACTGTCTAATAGAAAAAATAAAAACAGGTTTAATGAAATATTTTTGAGTTATTCAATGTCGTCTTCATGTTTTACTTCAAGATGCCAAGTCCATCTTCTGTCTACAGAACCAGAACCAGACACAGTCAGGACAGTTCTCCTCCATCTAAACCAGAACCCAAACTAGAACCAGTAACTTATCCAGAATCACATGTAGAACCCATTATTATTCCGAAAGCAAAAGTACCACCTGTTGAAGCTACAAAACCAGAACCTGTTATTGATCCCGATCCTGTTATTGATCCTGAAGGAAATGCAGAGATCACTGATGAGGACAGGAACAAGACTCACTTGTTGGAGCACGAGTGGTGAGGAGAGGCAGGCGGAGAGGATACAGAGAGAGGAGGTGCAGCGGGGTGGAGGAGGAGGAGGAGGAGTCCTCTGTCTTGGCGTGTCTGTTTTTTGTAGTTCCTCTTCTAACACAACCTAAACACAGAGACCATGTTGATTTGAATCTTCATCAGTGAATCAAGGACTTTTTAACACCTCTCTGAAACTGCTAACTAACCACCTAACTGACTAACTATAGAACTAACTACCTAATGGCTGTAACACACCTGATGGCACCTTCATCGATTACTCAAAGAAGTCTGGGAGCACAAAATAAAAATTAGGTCATGAGCTGAATTTGAACAAAACATGTCAAGAAATCACACAAGTCACACGTTGTGTTTGTTGGTGACGAAAAGAGTGGGACATCCGAGTGTCACTATTCTCTGGTTTTACCATATTCTACTGTTCCAGTGCAGATCTTTGTGTGTATCAGTCCGCCTCCACACATTTGTGTTCCTTTCAGGAAACACTGACCTAAATCTGCCGACCGCAGCAGCATCATAGCAATAATAGAACATCTGTGTAAAGACCGTGAATGGAACAGAATGATATGCTCATTCTGAAAAATACTTGTCAAATAATACTTTTATCCAAGATCACAGCTAGTAATAATGTGTATTTCATATTTACTCACAGTATGGTGGCCCCAAAGGACAAGGCACATACACGACTGAAAGCACAACCATTAAGTGATAAAAAGAAAACACACAGACAGGGGGGAACCTGGGGGGAGGACACCTGTTATCTGTAATATCCAAAAATAAAGTGCACTGCCTCTGTTTGTTTTGTGTTTTTATATATTTATTTTGATTGAAATGCGGTGATATATCTGTGTCATGGTTTGATATGGCAGACACCTTTTGTTAGTTTTGTTTGGACTTTTTACACTTCTTGTTTTATTTTGTAATCTGTTTCCTTGTGTGTCTCAGTGTTTTGCTTCCTGTCTTGGTCCTGTTTTCTGTGTGGTGATTGTCTGCCCCGCCCTAATGTGTTTCACCTGTTTTCAATCACCCTTGCCTCCCTTGTCTATATAGTCTTTGTGCTCCCCTTTGTCTGTGTCGGTTCGTTTGTTTAGTTCTGGGTTTGTTCACGTCCTCGGTTCATGTTTATTATTTTGGTAAATAAACCTGTCTGCACCATCTCCCGTTTGTTGGCTGCATTTGGGTCCTACTTACCACCAAACCCTGACAATCTGAGCATAAAAATAACATGAACTAAACAACTATGACACTGAATTTTATATTTTATTTTCCAAAAGAAGTTATAATATATTTCAAAACACCCCTGACATGAAACCAAAAGGTCCCTGATACAAACGCTGCTGTCTCTAGTGAAATCTTTTTGAACCAGAGAGTGTGCACCAGTGATTGTGGGATGGAGCTGCAGTATTGAGGTCCAGTTGATAGACCTGCCTAAACCACACTGCACTGTAATCTGGAGCTGGATCTGTCACTGATTTGTCTGAGAGCTAGATGATGTCACTGATTAACACTCTGTGAAGGCGTCTTCACTGTCAGCTTGACTGAACTTTGTAGATAGGACTCTATTTTCTTCATCAGTGTGGTTGATTAAAAGATTGTGTGTCAGTTCCTGAGCGATAACACAACTGAGAATGAAACGGCAGATTTATGAGGATTATTTTTTCAGTAAAGAGATAAAGTTGGACATCAGGTGCGTTAATGCATATGTATTAGTGCATATGTGTTAGTGTGTATTTGTTAGTGCTTATACAGACAGGTACACAGACAGGTAATTTATGAGTAAAGGCCTGTAAATGGTCAGTTTAGAAGAACTCCTCTTATTGGAGGTGTTGTTTGTAGAAACATTGTAAAGTCAGAGGTCGACTGATGAACTCTAAAGCACGAGACACGAGCTGAACACACACACACACACACAATATAATGAAAGCAGGCTGCCAGTCAAAGAGAGCTCAGCTGCTGACTGCCCACGTGTATTTATGTGTGTCCCCACCTGCTGCCAAGAACATCACTACAGCTGCAACACACACACACACACACAAAAATAGATATTCTTCAGGCTCCTACAAGTCCTATTCACTGACATTTTGAAATATGGAATAAAAGACTGTGTTATCGTCTCTATGTGGACGACTAACGGTTCATCGCCTGTCTCTGTCTCACCAGTAGATCCACTCTGACCAGGTGTGTCCAGCTGTTCTTTCTTAGTAGTGAGGTACGCTCTTATTTAGTCTCATATCAACTCATAGAAAAATACTTTTTACATTCCTCTGATTGTGTAACTTCATTTTAAAATAAACACAGACTCCTTGTTGAAGATGCTGTCATTATATATCTCGTGTTGTTTTTGATTTTCACTCCAAGTTTAGCAGAATTGAATTTCACATGTGAACAGTTTCCATCTGTAACTGCGCAGTCAAAATCTGAGACAAATCACTCCTGACAAACTGTAAACACACTGACACACTGAAGAGAATCTGAGCTTCTGCCAGAAAACACACACCCACGCTCACCAAAATAATACCACATTTAATCTGGTGGCTTCCAGAAGTCTCAAACAAACCAACACATCCAGAGGGAAAACACAAGACTCCAACACATCTGAGGGAACCGAGCAAGTTCTGCTGGAACCATCAAGAGAACATCTGTTTTAACGAGGGAGACATAAGATCCAGTCCAGTCCAATCCAATCAGTTTGGTTCAGTTCAATAAATCTAGTCCAGTCCAGTCCAGTCCAGTCTAGTCCAGTCCAGTCCAATCCAATCAGTTCAGTTCAGTTCAATAAGTCCAGTCCAGTACCATCCAATCCAATCCAATCAGTTCGGTTCAGTTCAATAAGTCCAGTCCAGTCCAGTCCAATCCAATCCAATTGAGTCTGGTTCAGTTCAAAAAGTCCAGTCCAGTCCTGTCGAATCCAATCAGTTTGGTTCAGTTCAATAAATCCAGTTCAGTTCAGTTCAATAAATCCAATCCAGTCCAATCCAGTTCAATAAATCCAGTGCAGTCAAGTCCAGCCCTCCAGAACTTCTCTCAGAGATGTCCCCCCTCAGTAAATGTTCTTGTCTCTTCAGTGCTGCTGGCACCTCCTACAAGTTGCAGACTTCATGACAACTACAAATACAACAATGAAACTCAGACTCTAACCCAGATTTTGGTTTTCAGATTAAAAACATATTTATACAAAAAAAAACAGTTTTTCTTTTCCTAAGGTCCGCCCCTGTCATACAAATGAGCTCCCTGGGTTTCGACTTAATGATTTATTCAATCAATTCAATCAATAAAAGGTAAATTTGTAGTCTCAGGTCTGAATTGGCACATTTCCCATCGTGCTCCATTGGGTGATTTAAATGTACCAATCATCTTAATACATTTGACAGCAACTTTATGTGTGTGTGTGTGTGTATGTATGTCCCAGCAGATAACACACATTCACAAACTCCAAGCAGCAAGCTACACAGCCAATCAGCTCTCAAAAATGAGCGCTGTTGTCATGGCAACATGGCAGACATGAATGCAGCATCTCTGAAATACACCTGGCCTCTGAGTTGGTGGTTCAATTCCAGCTGAGCTGCAGCAGAATGATGACAGCTGATTGGTCACTTACAGGAAGGGCAGCCTTTTCAGAATAAAATTACATGTAAAAAAAACGTTCCTGTTCTGGAGCGAAAAACTTTGAACTGAACTAGTGAGAAGCTCTGCCTCCATCTACAGCTAAGTGATCTGATTGGAGGAACTGTTGACACATTCCTGTCTCTATGGGTGCAGGTTAAAAGACGGAGAAAACACCAGGTGCCCAGATGACAGATTAACAATCCAGACTAACACACTAACAGGTCACATGACTCCACTAACATCAATGAGATTAAATAATACAAGTATAACAGCAGCACAAACCCTTTCCACCCACAGACTGTAAATGTGTTCTACACCTCTTTATACCACTTTCCCCAGGTTCCAAAAATTCTTCAAACACAACACAAATAATGTCCTTCTCAGCTGCCATAGTTACAACACTTGTATTACACAATATGCTGTTGAACACACCACAGTTGCAGTTTAAATAAAGGTTAATTCAGGAGGAAGAGTTAACAGAGGAGCCTTGTCTCTCATTGGACAAAAAACAAACCACTCAGATAATTTCATGATGCTGCCTCTGTCTCCACCCGCCTGCATCGGGTGATGTCGTACCTGTGAGATGAGACGGAAACAGCAGGTGCTGGTTTCTGGGGGCGTGTCCTTCTGGCTTCTGGATGATCTGATTGGTCAAAAGGAGATGTTTGTCTCTTCTCTGGAACACGCCCACTTCCTCTGGTGAGATCCAGCCTTCAACTAGCTGCAAACATGTCAGCATGTTAGTATTACGCTGTGTGTGTGTGTGTGTGTGTGTGTGTGTGTGTGTGTGTGTGTTTGTGTGTACCTTGGGTAGACGATGAGGGTGATGAATAGGGGAAGATCGATAGAATGGAGGGAGAAGAGGAACGACTTCAACAGCTGGACGCTCCCACTGAAACAAAAGTAGTTTAGAGATGGTGGCCGAGAGGGACAAAAACTTAAAACTAACCCTGACCCTAAACACACTAAAAACACAAAGCTGTGTCTGTGTGTGTGTTTCTCCTCTGTATGTCTGTAAAGAACTTTTTCAGTGACCCCTAAACTACAACCTCTGGTTTCATGCTGTCAGAAAAAGAGAATCAGAGCAATACTGAAGTGAAGTCTCTCTTGACATCCTGCTGCCTTCTGTCTGCAGTGACCTGTCTCATGTCTCCTGACTGGTGACTGTTTGTCAATCTGTCCTTGACTCGTTTTGTAGGACAGAGACTTTCAGCACAAACTCAGACAGATCAGGACTGAAGGAAAAGCCACTGACTGCTGACCACGCCCACCAATGATGTCACTGTGTATTGACCACCCCCTGAGTACACTCAGTGTCAAGGTGTTAAGTTTAAGGACCTGTACATATAATCAGATTTCTCTATATCCTTTGGACAGACAGACAGACAGACAGACAGACAGACAGACAGACAGACAGACAGACAGACAGACAGACAGGTGACCTACTCTCTGCAGTCTCTTTAAATCACTGAGGACGGTAAAGGACTGTAAAAAACAAAAAGCAGCTGACAGAGAAGAAAGATGAGGCCGCTGAAGCAGAGCCAGGATCTGCTCTCTGAATACGTTTTATCACCTCCTTTTTTAAAAAGTATTTCTTTAAACATAATGAAGGAACTTTCACAGATCTGTTATTAAAGTAAAAACAATATGGTTCACCACATTCAAAGCCCACGTATGAAAATATGAAAATTTAAGGTTCACATGTTAAATTCAGACCAATAATAATAATAACAACAACAATAGTAATAATAATAATAATAATAATAATAATAATAATAATAATAATCATCATCATCGTCATCATCATCATCATCATCATCATCATCATCAGTCAGGTTGTCTCTGTAAAGTTCAGCTGTCTGTGGAGTTTAATGTCACACTTTAGGATTTCACTCTGTTTTCTTTGTTTCACACAAACACTTTCATTAGACAATCTGCTGATAAGATGATAAACTTGGTCTCTGCAGTTTATGCAGAAAGAATTAAAAAAGAGCTGCATGAGATAATTAACACGCTACCAATAATTAACTGACAATTATTCACTTTGCCCTGAGGGATCATTAAAGTTTCATCTTATCTCCAGACGACAGAGAAGTCCGAACTCTGGATCAGACACTCAACCAACACTTTATATATGAAGGTGAATTTGACTCCAGCTGTGGATTGTGGGAAATGTAGTCTCAACTGTATCCTGCAGGGATGTGTTACTGTTGTTATTGTTATTTCTCCTTGATAAATGAGAGATCAGCTGATTAAAGTAAAACTTTTTCTTTCTATTTACAGGTTCAGACCAAAGATTTACCAGGTGTGTTACCTGAACCAGATGCATGTGTTACCTGTATCACGTGAGCATGTTCAGGTATCCACACAGCGGGGGGACAGAGGACCAGAGGGGGCGTGGCCTGGTACGTTGCTGCAGACCAACTAGCCAACCACAACCACTGGGGGGCAGGTTCACTGCTGACAGACAGCCAGGGCATGGTGGTGGTTACCATGCCAACCGGCTGACCTTTAAACCTGGAAACTGGCAGCATCACGATGACATCACAACCTAGCAGACAAACCAATCAGGATGAATTAGCACCAATAATCAAAGGCGAGTTGATTATTGATCACAGTTAAAAAGTCTGAACTTATAAATTCTTTCAAATTAAAGCAGAAAATTCAAAGATAGAGATGAGATAAGAAAAGATGAGAAGAAAAGATGAGAAGAAAAACCATAAAAAATAAATTCTATTATAAATGCAGTCTGACACAGTGAACAGAACTGAGTCATCAGTTGGTACTTTATTGATCTGATTCTTTACCTGAAACACAAATGAACTGTCACAGATCAGCTGAACACAGTATCAATACTCCATCAGTACCTCATCAATATCTTATTTCTACTTCATCAATACTCAATCAAAATTACACACTGCCAAAAATTCATACTTTAGAAATACCAACACTACATTAACACCTCCTGCATTAATGATTTCAAATACTATCAATACTTCATCAATACTTCATCAACACTTTCAATTGACTGAAGGTTCAGGTTTCTTCTACTGACCAGGTCTACAAGTTTGATTATTGATCAGAGTGATTATCCGTTTCATATTGATCACCTCCAACCATCATCACGTCTGTCACAGAGGAACTGGTTCCACAGTTTGAGCTTCTGCTACTGGTTCCACTGGTTCTACAGTTCTCACTGGTTCAGGTGTCATCACCAGGGAGTTGCATAACACTTTGCTGGTTCCGCTGTTTTCATCAGTCCGCAGGGGTCCACGAGGGTCTGCTGGTGTCCATGAGGGCTCATGAAGGTCTGCTGGGTCATCGAGGATCTACTGGGGTCTATGAGGGTCTGTGTGAGGTACATTTCGTCATTGGAGCGTGTATGCAAGTTTCTGTGTCGTCGGCATAGCCACTATGTTACAAAGGTACCAACTACACATGAGCTGGAAAACAAAGATGGACACTGCATTTCAAAAGAGCCTGTGAGGAGGTCCGGCCCTCACGTCTACAGTTCAGTGCAGCAGACGAAGCAGCTCTTCTTCTTCTTGTGTGGATATCGCCATTTTGATTTCATGTATGAAATGCGTCTTCAAGCAAAGTATAAATGAAAAAAAACTGCATGTTCATGGTGTCCACAACTGTCCACAGCTGTCTGTGTACATGTCCACAAGCCAGTGTAACAGAGGTGTAATATCAGACATTATAATTTCCTGTGTCAGACTTTGACTCATAGTTACAGTCTGTCTCAGGGCATGTTTACAATCCTAACATCTTCTAAACCCCAAAACATAAAACTGAGATTTATTCAAACATGTTTCTCTGAAAGCTGGTGGTAAAAAATCTCTCAGGTTAAATTAAACTAAACTAGTGATGTAGTCCATTTTAGTTCCACAGCAGCTTTGTAAACCACAACAGTACAGCTTTCAGTATACTCACATTACTACTTGTACTTGTAGTACTGACAGTATACTCAGTGCTTATAGTACTGTCAGTGTGTCAGTATCGATGCTGCTGCTGAGTCAGTGTCTGTAGCTCAGTGGATTATCACGGATTATTACCGTGTTAATTAACGAGTTAAATTCCGGTATGTGTCACTTACCGACCTGCGGAGCTTCTCCAGCTTCTGTCCTGGTAACTGCTCCTCAGACCGGCGGGACCCTCCTCCGTCCGGTCACGTCCTGAGCGTCGACTCGCTCCTCCAGCTGTTTCACTGAGGTCCGCAGATCATCCTCCCATCCGGTAAAGGTGAAAGTAGAAACAGCTGGAGCCACGAGGATCAACGGCGACAGAAGAACACCGAAAGACAGAGAGAAAGAGTGTGTGTGTGTGAGAGAGAGAGAGAGAAAGAGATTACCGGTTGTAACAGACAGACCATGCGTGTCACGGCGGTGACAGACAATGCGACGCCTGTAGGTAGAAAATACCGGAGTCGGCGGCAGCACAGGCTGTTCCAGTCACGGAATCTCTCTCTCTGTCTCTCTGTCTCTCTCTCTCTCTCCGGTTCAAACCGATTAAAGATCCGGTAAATGGTTGCGCTCTCAGATCAAGGAGCCGCCTCCCTGTTCCCTCCTCAGATCATTAACAGATGTGAAGTTATCCAAAACACATTATGAACGTGGACTATTATTAATAACTTTATTTGTACGGAACTTTGTTATGTAATACATGAACTGTACAGCTCAGCAGAGTCAGACAAACAGTCAGCAAGAGGAATTAGGCAGATCAACAGACCCAGGTCTGGAGAGCTTGGTAAAGAGCACAGAAACAGTCTGCCAGGGCGGTCCTGTGCATCTGGGGCGGGAGAGGTTTCAGGGACCTGCCTGGCATCATATGTAATTATAACAAATGCATTTTATTTCTACCTCTATCACCATGATGGAGCCCTTATAATTAGACCCTAGCCCCAAAGTTGAACCATAAATTGATAGATTTCTGATGACTCATTAATTGATTGCTAATGTTTCAGAGAGCAGACAGAGAGTTTTTCTTGTATTATTATAATATATATCATCTCATGTCATCTGAGAACACAACAGCCAGAATTATTTCTCTGAATTTCTATGAATCCAACCCTAACTTCTTGAATGGTAGTTTTCAACTTAAAATAAAACAACAAACGCATTTGTAAATTTCAAACCAACAAATAAACTTATTTAGGAAAAGTTTCAGGCTTAATGTGATTTATGGTGTTTTTATTGCTTTCAAATGTCAAACTGAGTCAAATTTGACCTCAGCAAGAGTTCACTTGCTAATTAAATTATTTTTTCGCCTTGTTGTTGCACACACATGATGAAAATTAATCTACTGTGAACAGTTCACAGCTCACAGACAGCTGGTGGCAGCGATACACCCTGCTACACCAGCAGCTAGCTAACAGCAGGAGCTACACCTGTTAACACGTTTAAAAGTGTTGCGTGTGTTGGTAAATATTCCATTCATTTACATTATCTTGTGCTTATTTCTTTCCTTCATCAATGTTCCTCTTTTGTCTTTAGACATTTTCACCATTCACTCACTGAGGGAGGGACCTAACCCTAACCCCACAGGCTGCGTTTCATACGTACGTCATTGTTGCAAGTTTTGGATCTAACAAACATGATAATCCTTGTTTGTTGCCCTGTTATACAAGACTGTAGCAACAACAACACCAACGTAGATACGTCAGGTTGTCAAGACAGAGGTCAGACATGAGTTGAGGGCCCCAGGTGGCTGTGGGCCCGAAGCAGCCAGGTGATGAACAGGAAGTTATACAGGAAGTGTATACAGAGGGGGTAATAGGATAAATGGGAACAGGTGTGTGCAGATGTGAAGTGGCCAGCAGGCAGGAAACTGAGCAGAGAACTGTGTTTTATGAAAACAAGTAAAACAAACATGAAAATAAATAATAATATAATATAATCGAATATTAAGATATAACATGATACATCCTTAATTTGGTTTTGACAAAGTAAAGTTGGAATAACAACGCTGACAAAAGTATCAGATTAATCTTACTACTATACTACATTACACTGTCAGATTTGATTGGATATTGATTTTGCAGTTCACAGTAATACTGTGATTTTATTACATCAAATACTTCAGTATTCTGAGATTCAACACTCTCTGATGCAGCCCATCTACTGTGTGTGTGTGTGTGTGTGTGTGTGTGTGTGTGTGTGTGTGTGTGTTATGTAATCACAGCCATGTATCCATTAGTGAGATAATAACAACTATATATTCTGTGTGTGTGTGTGTGTGTGTGTGTGTGTGAATCTGCCCATCCCGGGTAATCAATTAACGTACGCTCACACAACCACACACACACACAAACACACAATTTAAGAGCCCTATTGCCTCCTTTGTCTCTTGCTGTGAGGAGGAAGGTGTGTGTGTGTTTTATCTGATATCAGTAACTGTTTCTGAGTTGTGAAGCTATGCTAACGCACACACACACACACACAGTTTATATTGACTGGATAGATTATGTGTTCAGAGATTCTCTGTTAAGTCGTCGACCTTTCAGACAAAATATTTCAAGACTAATCTGTGATTATCTACTTTATCATACAACATTTAGCTCCGCCCACAGACTGTGATTGGATGGTAGAGCTGGGATAAATGCTGAAGCTCCTGTCTGGTTGATTATTGATAAACCCTTTTGTCATATATAAATCAATTTCAACATCTGACTTTTGTCTGGATTTAACTCTGCTGATAAGAAGTGATTCATAGTAAAAATGTACAGAAATATAATTGAGACAAATGCCTATAGATTCAAACTCAAACTCAAACACTGTTAGGATTTCAGAAGATGAATTCATTATTCTAGCAAACTAGAGCTTTACCACTGATTCAATTAATTCAAATTACCAGCAGATATCAGAGAACATTTAATACATGTTTTATGTATAACTGCTAATCCCTGGTGGAGGTGTAAATGAGAGTGAAAGGGTTTTACATTCATAAAACTGTATTAAAATAAATCTAACATGTACTGGAGTGAAGTGAACAAATATTTATAGAAAGTAGGCCAGAGGATGGAGAGGAGGATGAATACAGAAGCAATGGAGCGATGGAGAGGAGGATGAATACAAAGGGTAACAGAGAGATGGAGAGGACGGCTGTGATTAGACATGTAGAGGGAAGGAACTGTCTTACAGAACTGAACTGAACTGAACTTAACTGTATTGTACTGAACTGTACATCCTACAAACCTGAAAACCTCTGCAGCAGCTTCAGGATGATCAGGGTTGGAGACAAAGTCTGAGAAGGTTTGAAGCCACGAACACAGATCTGTCTACAGCCTGTCCTGGAGGACATCATTGACTAAGGCCTGGATGCTATTGGGGCTTTAGTTAAACTCAATGGCATAACAAGATACTCATAATGTCCACAGGGGTTAGAGGCTGGCTTCCATTAGTTCCCCTTCCTGGAGGGATGGTTGGAGAAATTGGCTGCTGCTCCCCGCAGGAGCTCAATGGCTGAAGAGATGAATAAAAGAACATGGTTCAGA